AACTTAGCCAAAGCTTTAACAGACAAAAAAAAAAAAAAAATGCCTGAGAGTCCTTCTACACCATGACAAGATTCCTGCTCATTCCTTTCATGAAACGAGCAATTTTGAGAAAGTGTCTACAGGAAATCATTAGACATTCATCTTACAGTCTTGATTTGGCGTCTTCTGATTTCTTTTTGTTTCCTAATCTTAAAAAATCTTGAAAGACCACCCATTTTTCTTCAGTTAATAACATAAAGAAAAGTGTGGTGGCCCCATACGATTAGCACTTCAGACTTCTACCAAACCTGTGCAAAGTTTACCTGTACGACCTACAGTATCACCTGTACTCAAAGGCACCTTGAAACACAGAAGTGCACACCCAGTATGGATTAAAAGAACTACAAGAGAAGTGTCCCTCTTTCTGAACCAAAGAGCAATGAGCCCCTATGGATCAGCAAGTGAAGAAATCTCATTTTTCAGGCAGCACTTTTCCTCAGCCCAATTCTAGCCCTGTCCAGGCAGGGGAGTCCAGAGCCAAGCACAGAGCTTGGACATAATAGATAATGCAAACCTCGTGGGAGGGGTGAGCACATAGTAAATACTGGTCCACCAGGTCAGATATACAGCAGAGTTCCTCACACATGCTGCTCACCCTCACCAAGTAAGCACTGTGAAGCAAAGAAGCTCTCCCTTTCCCCAGCCTCAGAGCAACTTGCCATTTGTAGTGTCTATAAGGCTTTCTCTGGTGAATGGCCTTCTTTTTTAGACTCTGTGCAGCAGCACCTTCCCCCATTCTGATATTCATTTGTATCTGTGCCTCAAAATCAAGTGTTATAGGAATGGTACAGAGATGACATCTCACCTCCTGTGATGTCACAAGAGGAAAGACAGATCAAACTCAGAATTAGCCAAAGACAGATTCCTATGAGGTGGAGGTCAGACATGCCTTCACCATCTAACTTTCTTCCCCGTTCTGACACCAGATGTTCCTCCCACAGCATGTTTCAGTTGGATTTGATGATCCTTTGCAATGACCACACAGAACTCACAGACCATATTCCCAGTTGTAGGCTATGTTAGGGAAATTAACAGGCTACAGTTCAGCCTCAGAAATGTTCAGGATACACTTCCTTAGTCAGGACAGCCTCTTCTCTGCTGTGTTTGCAGACAGACCTCTCTGTCATGTCCTTGGCCCCTTGACCTAGCATCTGCCCTCCTCAGGCACAGTTATAAAGCTCATGTAGTACTGCTGATAAATTCCCAAAGGGCACTCTGCTATAAACCTCAGTTCTAGCTTCATGGGTCAGCAAACACAGGTCCCCTAATTAAGTGCCTAGAGGCACCCGCTCCACAGCAAACCTCCTGCCTAAAGCCACTCAGTGCTGACTCTGTCTCTGTGCTGAGAAGTCAGTCATTCTGTCGTGTGCTCTGGCTCTTGGTTCTACTGCTGCCACTTCTCTGGTGTCACAGCTTTCTGTCCCTGGGTCAAGGACCTTTAATGCACAGAGGTCTTAGGGGCCAAAGGATGTATGTACTCCACTCCACTCTTCTTTCTTGATGGTAATGAGATACCTCCTTCTCATTGATGATAATGAGATGGCTGGTTTTTAACGCAGCAGGATGACAAAATTGCCTAATCCCTACATTCAAGTTTTAAGGTTTTTCAGTCACATTAACCCTGTTAACAGTCATTCACACAGGAATCATATCATCCTTTCAACAGCATCCCCCAACTTGTTTTACCCAGACCTACCAGGAAATAAGTTGTTTGGTGGGTGTTGCCAAGCCTATGGCTAGAAGCCACATTAAATAATCACCACCCTAAAAGCTCACTCACTCACTGCTGTCAAGTCAGTCTCGAGCCATAGTGACCATAGGGCAGAGTGAAACGGCTCCATCGGGTTTCTGAGAATGCAAAGATTTATGGAAGCAGTCAGCCTTGTCTTTCTTCCGCAGAGAAGCTTGAGGGTTTGAACCACTGCCTTTGTGGTTAACAGCCCATTGCACTACCAGGGCTCCTTGACAGGTTGTTGGTATCTATTCTAGTCTTTGTTCTCTTACTAACCATGTGTGACTTGAGCCAGTAGCTTAATCTCTCTGGATTTCATTTCCTCAACTGCAAGACAAAACAAAGTCAACTAGGTAGCCTCTGAAGAGTGGTTAGGCTGTTGACTGCTCACTGAAAGGTCAGTGGTTCAAACTCACAAGGGCTCCACAAGAAAAAGATGTGACAGACACTCTGCTGTAAAACAACAGCCAAGGAAACACAGCTCGACTCTGTCCTACAGGGTTGATGTGAGTTTGAATCTCTTCAATGGCAAGGATAGCTAGCCTCTCATGTTACAGTGCAGCCCTTGTTACATTGCTCTGCAATCCCTCCCAGGCTCTATTGGGGACTGAAGTGGTATGATCATGCTATGAGCTTTGCCAGCAGTGTGACATACTTATTTTGCCTTGAGGGCCCTTGGTGTCAGTGACCTCTCTCAATAATTCTAACTAGATCCCATGTCTATCCACACTCCATAATTTGTAGCTCAATTCTGAGAACTAGGTATATGATGGATTGTGATTTTTAAATTATCGAAAGCAACATCAGATTATGAGTCAAAGTCACTTTATTGTTTCTGTTAAGTGCCATCAAGTCGATTCTGATCAAGGAGCACGACTGGTGAGTTTGAATCACCAACCTTGCAGTTCATGCCAACTTTGCAGTCCAGCTCATTAACCTACAGCACCACACCAGAGCTTCATATAAGGAGACCCAAAGCAGTAACATACCAGAGAGCACTTGCCATAAAATAGACACTCACACATAGCCGCATCATCATGTCCTAACCAAAAAATCAGAAGGAACTGGGACAAGCAGTATGCTAGGAATCAAAATGGAAACCTCTTAGAGATGGTGAAACGTGTCATAATGATAGGACTTGATGATGTGCCTGGCATACTTTTATGCACTTTTCATATGTAACCCACTTCATCTGCATACTGACTCTCTGAGGTAGGTATTGTTTTATAGATGAGGAAACATAGACCTGAAAATGTCAAGTAACTTGTCCAAGATGACCCAGCAACAAGTGGTAGAGTAAGGACTAGACCCAGGGAGCCTGTCTTCTGAGTCCATGCTTATATTGGTTCCCAATAGATCTTATTTATCATTTAAGAACAAAATGATCGTGGTAAAATGACCTTTATCAAGAAGGAAGGCTGATCATCAAGACAGACCCTGGGCAGCTATCACCAGTGCAGACTATAGTACCATTTGCAAATCAGGGGATGTGAATACAAAGAAATTTGAACAGAAAAAAGGAAACAAAAAACACAGGAAATGCTTTATACAACACTCCTTGGAATTACCCAAATGGCTGGTCTTTTCAGCAGCCATTTCATTGGTTTAAGTTGTTTATCCACCACTCATCTGTTCATTTCTCGTATTGTGGTGGCTGCATGTAGCTTTCATGGCTTCCAACATGAAACATTGGGAACTGGTGTTTCAAATCCCAGCAGGCTCCCCCATGGTGGACAGGTTTCAGCAGAGGCTCCAGACTAACACAGACTAGGAAAAAAGACCTGGTGACAGCTACTTCTGAAGAGATGGACTAGTGAAAACCTAACGAATAGCAGTGGAACACTGGCTGATAGCAGTGGAACACAGTGTCAGAAGATGAGCCCCTCAGGTTGGAAAGCACTCAAACTCCGACCGAGGAAGAGCTGCCGCCTCAAAGTAGAATTGACCTTAATAACACGGTTGGGAAAGAGTTTTCTGGATCTTCACTTGCTGATGTGGCATGACTCAAAATAAGAAGAAACAGCTGCAAACATCTAATAATAATCAGAACATGGAATGTACTAAGTATGAATCAAGGAAAATTGAAAGTTGTCAAAAATGAAATGGAATGCTCTAAGATCCATATTAAGGAGCTCTGGTAGCGTAATGGTTACGAATCGGGCTGTGAACCTTAAGGTCAGAGGTTCGAAACTACCAGCCGCTCCGCGGGAGAAAGATGAGGCTTTCTACTCCCGTAAAGATTTACACCCTCGGAAACCCTGTACAGGGTCGCTATGGGTCAGAACTGACTCAACGGCACTTAACAACAAGATCCATAACAAGATCCATATTATAGGCTTTCATTGAGCTGAAATGGACTGGTCTTGGCCGTATTGAATCTGTCATAGACATGGTTTAACACAGTGACTACAACAGCAAACTCACAGGAAAGACTGTGAGGCTGGGGCAGGACTGAGCAGTGCTTCATTCTGTTGGATATTGGGTCACTGTGACTTGAACCTGACGCAACAGCACTTAACAACAGTAAGCCATTCATGTTCCTTGTGTGTTTTACTCTGCTAAGCACCTAAAAATTCTTCACTATCTCTGTGTTGTTTATTGAACATGGTCTTTAGTTTCATCAGTTATGGGTAGATATTTCTAGTGTGGAAAATGATGAAAATAGAAGTTTATAAACAATAGCATATCTAAGTCTTTTTATTGGTTCTGATTTTCCTCCTAACTCCTTTGGTGTTTCAGATACACTGTACCTTCATATTGAGCTACCAGTGTAACAAGAGGCATTAAGCAATTCTGATGTCCAGTGTAGAAAACTATGATGTTGGAGTTCTCCAGGAAAATAAGTGGTTCATTGAGTAGTAACCAACCACTGAGTCTTAAATCTTAGATTCAAATTGCAAGCCAAAGAGCAGTAGCAGAAAAGTAAAACACTAAAACTGGACAAAGATGGGCATCTTACGCACAAATCTATACAAAGTGAATGCACAAAGCAAAGCTGTCAGTGATCCCTACATAGAAATTGAGAATGTGAGGGATGCAGAGAAAAAGAATGGGCTAGAAAGTCTGTTGTGTTTAGTACCTTTAAAGTATAGCCTTTAAACTTGAGTTTTAAAATTCAGCTTGACCTACTTCCCCTTGATACTCTGTTAATAGTTTCTTGGCAATTTTCTGAGCATCTAATTATTTTATTTTCCTTCTCTGTTTTGTTTCTTCCACATATTCCCATTAGCCGAGAGTATTTAGACAAAAGAGAAGAGCAAAGACAAGCAAGAGAAGAAAGGTTTGTATACCTCCTTTTGTTCCTCTTTGTACACCAAATGGTACATGAATTTGCACCCTTCACCAAGTATGCAGAGGAGACTCTGTTAATTAAAATATGCTAGAATTTAAGAGTTTTCCTTGGGCAACTGGCATTTTGCAGAGTAGAGAATCCTTTTTATCTAAAATTTTCAGAAAAGTAAGGATTTATAGTTTCATACTATCGTGATATCATGTGACAAGTATGTGTCTGTGCCTCCAAAACTCTTCTCCAAGTGAGTGTGTTGTTGTAAGCTGCTCTCCAGCCAGTCCCCAACTCAGGGTAATAGTCATGCCCAATGGGATTCAACTAATGTGATCCGTAGAGTCTTCACTGGCTAATATTTTGAAAGTCCTTTCTAATAAATGGTGGCTTTTAAAACATACCGCCCCCCACCACCACCACTTCTGAGGCTGGTTAGATGTCCTTCCTTCCACAAGGAGTCGAGCACCGTGGGTGTCAGTAATGTGGGATCACTTATCCATCAGCATGCACCTGACCAGCTGTTCATCTCCACTCTGAACTGTACTTAGTTCTGCGATGGAAGAAGTCAGGCCTGCTTCTCTTGGTATCCCCAGTGTATGATGGGCGCTCAGAAAAAGCATATGGGGCTTATAAGTACATTATGGTCAATAATTTTATTAAAAATAGCCAAGCCATAAACCAGTCCATTAATTTCACTGGCAACATGCTTAGAATCCCACTAAGAGGTGTAAAGTCAATGTGTTCATCGTCTGATAAATAGCGGCAAGCAAAGGAAACTATTGGATCCTGGTGGGCTCCTCAGAAACCCTATACAGGGTCGCTATGAGTCTGAACAGACTCAATGGCACTTAACAACAACAAAGGAAACTATTGGGAGGTACTCTGGCAAAAGACAAGGTTTTGCCCCCAAGGAGCTCTGGTAGTGTAGAGGTTACAAATCAGGCTGCCAACCTCAGGGCCAGCAGTTCGAAACTACCAGCTGTTCCACGGGAGAAAGATGAGGCTTTCTGATTCCGTAAAGATTTACAGCCTCAGAAACCCTGTAGAGGGGTCGCTATGAGTCAGAACCGACTCCACAGCACATCACACCAGGCAACCTGCAGTTGTTCCCTCTACCACTAGATGGGGTTACTGCATGGAGCATTGGAAAGACTGATTGGGAGCCAGCTGGGAACCTAAGAATCTCTGCACCATGCCAATAAAAAGTGAAATTGCGCTAGTTTTTAGGCAACATCAACTAAATAGGGCAGTCTGAGACAGGGAAGAGTGGAAACTGCCTGTGTTCAATTAAAAACTTACATGCTTAGGTCAGCTGCTTAACTAAAATTATGGCATGGCTATAATAGCATCATTTGATTAGATTATTGCCATCCTCCTAACCATTTGAGGGCAGCAAACTGAGAGTGAAACATGCTGGTAAAGAAACTTCTGTTTCTCCAATTAGTACCTATTTTTGACATTGTTCTTGAGAAGTGCCAGGTACTTCTCCTGAAAATCCTGTCGACTTTTTTGCCCAGGCTGAATGGAATTAACCCTTGGATATTTTTTATTTATTTTTATACTCTCCCTCCAGATTCTGAACTTTTTTTAACTTTCGACAATAATAGATGTCAGTTTACAGCCTCGCAGTCAAAGAGAGCTGCAGAGGCTTGAAAACCCCTGGGGACGTAAACATTAGGGTGCCGTGTCTGCTCTGAACTGGTCCAAATGACCTCAAAATGCTCCAAAGCTGTTGGAAGCCAACTCTTTCTGCTCATTATTTACTGCTTTGTTTTCCAATACACGCCTTCCCTTCTGCCTGGAACATGTGTACAAATGAACTTGCCGGTCCTGCATTTTAATGCTACCTGTGGGCCTGCCCCTCAAGGCACCCCTTGTCTTCCTAGATGGTTCTGGCTCTCTGTGGGGTTCTTTCCTTGAAGTTCACCTTTCTGTCTATGTGGAGGTTTGGAGAAATAGCCAAGCACTTCCTTTTGGTGTGGACCAGCTGCTTTTCTTAGTTAGTTCATTCGTTAGTTAGTTAGTTAGTTCTTGAATTGGTGAAGATGAGGGATATAAAGTTTGGAAAGCTCTTGGGGGTTCCCAGTAAACCAGGAAAAGAGAAGAGAAGATTTCCAACTCGAATGGAATTGCTAAATGGCTAGGGATACTAGTGGAGAACAGAGGTGGAAAGAGGTCCAGAAATCAGAACAAGGACTGTCAGTTCATTTCTTAAGACAGCACTGGACATGTTTGATGGATCTCAGTGTTAATTTCATGAGAAAGACTCAGCAAAGCAGGTAGTGGTGAGGTTGGCATCATATAACAAGGAAAGAATGGGTTTGCTACTTTGAGGCATAATAGTCATCCCAGCACATGATATTTCCATTTACTTCCTTTTATTCCATTTAATTTCCTATCATCAGAAGGTGGTAGAAAGGAAGGAGATCCAGGCTGGGTGGGGAAATGTGAGGATGGAAGGATCCATTCATCTTGGATTTGTTTGTCTATGAGGGGCAGCCGAACATGGAGAGCTAATGCCTATGGCAAGTAGGGTAATGAGAGCAGAGGGGAGGGGAAGGACTGGGCCTGGCCTAGGATTTTGGAAATTATGCCCACAAGTGATCAGTGAAGCAATAAAAGAGGATTCTGAACATTGTTCAAAAGGCCTGAGGACAGACTAGATGTCAGAGGGCACCAGGTATGCAGGAGGGCGGCTTTCTGAGAAGCATGATGGTGGGTCATCAGTAAGGAGGCTTTGGTTAAGCTAAGTCTGCCTACAGTCAAGCAGGATTTTTACAGGGCCCTGTGGAAAGAGATTGAGGCTGTAGACCCATCCCCGCCCCAGCACCAGCCCTCCACCAGAGCCCCCATGCATGCTTGACTGCAGCTCTATGGTTGATTTGCCTCTTTCCCACTGAACTGTGAGTGCCATGAGGGTGGGCTTTAGTCTTGTTTATTATCATATCCCTAGTGCTTACTGCAGTTCTTAGTAGTCGAAAGATGTTCAATAAGTAAGTGGAAAATGAATGAGGAAACAAATGATATGGGCGGAGATAGGCCTTGGACTTGCTACCACCCCATTTAACTTGTGCCTGCTGGAAGTCCTTTCCCTAAAGATCGCTTTTTCTTGAGGCTCCAAAATTCCTGTCACTTCCATAGACAGATGGTTTTTCCTTGCTGGTCTGAATGGAGTTCAGAAACTCACTCCTTTCATTACGCCTATGAAGGAGGTATGAAGTTCAAGACGCAAAAAAAAACCTTGAAAAAGCAGCAGTGTTTGTCTTCAGTGGGCTGAAGGGGTGAGGGTGGATTCTACCATCTGCCATTGGAGAGGTGACATTATCCTTGAGGAAAATGAAGCGCTTCTGAGTTGTTCTCACTGGAGATAGCTTTACCCTGTAACTGTGAGGCAGCTGCTGTTTCTTTGAAGTCCCCTTGTTGATTTGTACAGAGCTGCTGCACATCTTTTTTTCGGGGACTCAGCACGAAAGTAAGCTCACCTCCTGTAAAAAAGGTATGGCATGGAGCTGATGTGTGACCTCCTCTAACTTCACAAAGGGGAAGAAGGAGGTTCACTGTCCACATCAGCCCAAGGCCAGCTTCCGAGGAGGAGGCTGAGGTCAGACAGACCTCCACCCTCCAACCTTCCTTGCCAGTTCTGACATCAACCTATAGAACTCTACTTCTCAGCTAGGTTCAATAACGCATTATAGTGGACACACAGACCTCTGAGAATACTCACAATTAGAGGCTTAATTAGGGAAGTTAACAAGTTACAATTCAGGATCAAAAATGCTCAAGATATAATCTTTGGTCAGAACAACCTTTTCTCAGTCATGCCTGCAAGCAGGCCTCTCTCTGGCCCTTGGCCTGGCCTCTCCTCTCCTCAAGCAATGTTACAAAACTTTCAGCATTGCTTTAAAATGCCCAAATTATATACCACTTGTTATAAGCCTCAACCCAAAGACACTCTGCCCTAGCTCCATGGGTCAGCAAACTAGCTCCCCAATTAAGTGCCCGGAAGCCCTCCCCCCTCCCACCCCACCCCCTCATTCCACAAGCAAGCCTCTTGCCCAAAGGCACTCAGTTTGCCTTGCTCTGTGGACTGGGAAGGCCTCTGCTCTGTCTTACTGTCTGACTCTGTTGCTGCCACCTCTCTGCTGCCCCTCTGCGGATGCTCTAGTGTCAAGGCGTTCTGACCTCAGATTGAACAGGTTCAGTGCACAGAGATCTCAGGACCCCACAGGGTCCAAAGGACACACACAACTCCTGGCTCTTCTTTCTTGATGGCAGGCAGTGAGATCCCACCTTCCTTCTTCTGAGATGGCTCCTTTTATATCCAGCAGGATGGAAAAATTGACCAATCCCTACATTAGAGTTCCAAATTTTTGCCAACACAATTAAACCTATTAGCAATCACTCACAATGGAATCATCTAATCCTTTCAGAATCTTCACCCACCATCTTTTACCCAGGCCCACCAGGAAAAGAGGAAATGTGCCCAACCTGCATGGTCCATATCTAGAAGAATCACACCGAGCAGTTCAGTGCACTGCACTCCCCAAGAAAATGCTAAGGCACCTTTATCCCTCTGGTCTCCCAGACTACAGGTAGACCTCCAAAGATCATGTGCTGCTTTGCAGGTTCTCACTGCACACTGGCTGTGTTTTCCATCAGTGGACAAAGGCAAGGCACTGAGGGAGAGAACAAAAGGCTGATAATTTTCCTGTTCTCAAAAATCCTATTATCTGCTTGTTGAAAACAGACACACACATATGGAAAGATGACTGAATATGCCAGGCAGTAAATGTAAAATACCATCAGAGTTCAATGGACTACACATCCGACATGAGTTCAGAGGCAAGGCCAAGATCACTTCCAGCTGTGCTGGTCAGGGCCGGCTTAGCAGAGGGAGATGGGCATGCAAACTTGGCTGAAGGGCAGGCTGCCTTTGGCTGGCAGAGAGAAGGGGTGACAGTCACAACCCATGGTAAGAAATACATGTTTTCTAAATGCATTGTTCTTGAAAGTCTCAAATGGGTGCTCTGCCCGTCTTATCTAAGTGAATTCCCAGAGCCATGTGCAATAACCGGGCCAGGGCTGGGCAGGTCAGAGCCGGGGACTTTTCTGGTGGGAGGGAGCCCGCTGGCGTTGTAAGCGCTAATGAATACAGAGTGAGGGTCCCAAATAAGTTGTTTCAAAGTTTGTTTCTGGGCAAGATAGTCAGAAACCTGCTCCAGCTGCATTCGTAAATTTATTTCTGAACAAACAGTGGTGGGTAAAATTAGCAGACATCTGGAAGAGGCACATATTTCAAAGTTATTTTGGTCTGATCTATAAAGCGCACTGGGAGGAATATGATTGGTAGCTGGTCTTAATAAACAGTTAGTGGGCTCTGCCTGCCTGAAATGCAAAACAGATGTATCTTTGTTCTTTTAAACTGACTTTGATGAATAAACTATATGTGACGTCAGGTCCAAGCTATTGGATGTCTGAGTCCGACTCAGAAATACTTTAGAATATAAAAAAGTTTCCATGGTCGACACTGCGAGAACAAAGTGAATTCCAGTTGCATTGCTGTTAGCATTGAAGCAGGTTCAGAAATTCAGCGAGGCCTGTGTCCAAACAACCCCTCTGAGTATCTGGGGCATTGTTCCTCACCGCTGCACTGAGGCACCCTCCCACTGCACAGCTGGGAGCTCCCAGAACAGTTGGTTCTCAGCTGTCACCGTCGGGGCTATTTGATGGTTATTATTGATGCTTTGCTTACGTGTACCAATGTCTCCTAAAAGAGCAACATAGGAGTCTGCAGCGGCAACCCTAGGGTCTGGGGACTGTGGGATGTTGCCATTTCGCCCAGTCAGCTCGGTTATGAATGGTGCGGGTTTTTTCATCAGCAGCATCTTGGCTGGGCTGGGCGTTTTTGGCAGACTGACCCTCCAGTCGGCTCTGCGCTGCGCTCCGTGCATCAGGAAACCAGCTCTCATTCTGCAGGTGTTTCATCCATAAACAAGCATCAGCCACAGGCTCCTCTTTCTTTTTACGGAAACCCTTTGGAATTTAATTTTCAGATACAAATACTTGGAGCAGTTGGCAGCCGAAGCACATGAGAAGGAGCTGAGAAGCCGGAGTGCAAGCCGGGGGAGAGCTGACCTGCCCTTGGACCTGACCTCGCCAGCAGCCCCTGCCTCCCCCTCCCCTCTGAGCCACAGCCCTTTATCTCTAGATGCACAGGAGGCTCTCACAGTACCACCCTCCTCCCCGGGAACATCTCAGCATCCCCCAGGTGAGTGTAGGGAAAACTGATGGGCTGACATTACACAGGCTTCTTCTGTAACATGGTAGCAACTCCTACTTGCCAACTAATACTGGAACAGCAACTAGCATACATTTAGGGGTAACCGTAGCCTGTGTGCCACTGCAGGGAACTCAGATCTCTTCAGAACCATTTGTCTGACAGCAAATGCAGGGTGTCTGTGGATGACCATGGATAGGGGAGAATCTGGGCAGTAGGACTGACTTGGACATTCAATCTGAAACCATGGAGTATTAACTAAGTACTTTCTTATGTAGATATGTAGATCACCCAACAAAGTGATCTCCTTTGAATGTGACTACCATAGGAGTTGTCAGTCTGGTTTAAATTATATTAATGGAGAATACAAGTAATTAAAGCAAACAGAAAAAAATGTTGACCTAGTGAAAATAGAAGTTAAATACTGAGGACGACAGTTTTTAATCTAGTAAAAAATCACTGGCACGTGGTATGTGTGGGGGTGTATGTGCACAGTTATACGCAGAGAGACTCTCCCTGGAGAAATTCCTTGGCTTGGTTTATTTAGATAAAAACAACAGCATCGCCCCTACCGCCCTTTGCACATCACTGACTGTGTGTCGTGGGTTCGTTTTCTTTCGTATTAGCACAGAGAGGGTTCTCGGGCACAGACTCCTACTCAGTGCTTGTTGATTAACCTCACAGCAATCACTGTTTGGCTTAATCGAGTGTTATGGCTTGCAGCCTCATGTAGACTTAGCCAACAGAGGAAAACAGAGACACTAAACTTTTAACTCTAAGAGTGTTGACTAAATATGGTGTAAAGTTTAATTTAAACGAGGGAGAACTCAACGACCTCAGCAGAACTGGATGTAATGGAATGAGAGCATCCGTCCAGCTCTTCTTTGCCTCTCCAAGCCTCCAGGCTGGTTTTGCAGGAGCAGGCTGGCTCCATTACAGCGTTCCATCAGTCCAGCCACTCCTGTTCTCTGAGCCATGGAAGGTTGTCCCCGGCAGATGGCTCAGTCAGAGATGAGTAATGGTCTGTCTTAAAATACAGAGACTCTGAGGCTCAGGAAAACAGACTGTTCTATCAGAGGCTTTTATTGCTGAAATCATGGCATTTCCAGAGCCAAGTGAAAACTCTCCCTGCAAACCTGTGGTTCTGCTCTTAACCTTGGGACTGTGAACTCTAATAAGAGTTGTACCAGCAGTTTACTGAATAGTGACCTAAATTGTAAAGTACAGAACAGTCCCCAAGCAGAGAGGGAATTGTCAGCATCTCTAAAGTATTGTTTTTCTTCAACTTTTACTCTACTTGATGCTTTCTTGTGGCAGAGACAGCTCCTCAAGTCCTTTGTTCAGTTACAGTTGGACTTAGGGCCATTCTATAAAATTCAAAAGACAGAATATTTTAACTTCAGAAGAAAAAAGAAAATTTTTTATAGCTATACTATATACATGGGGGAAATACAGAGTTGTTTTTGTACACTTTCAGGAAGATAACAAGTAAATGTTATTTTCCTTCCATTAGTGGAGACTGAGAGAATATTTTACTAACATCACTCAATGAATGATAGCTATAGCTGAAAAATACAGAGTTTGAATTTAGACACAATCATACATTCATAAAATAGCATGGCACGACAGTCTTTTTTCCTGAAAAAAAAAAAAAAAGAATAGCTCCTAAAGAAGTTTGAAGAGCTGCCCATCATATGTTAAGTAACCGTGATTCCAATCAGTTGGAATCACCTCCCCACAAGTATTCTAACTCCCTCATCCCGATATGTGACAAAATTATAACATTGGAAATGATGTTGTTGTTGGGTTCTGACTCAGTGACCCTGTGTGATTGAGTAGAAGTGCCCCATAGAGTTGTTTTTACTATAATTTGGACAAAAGTAGCTCACCAACTCTTTCTCCCATTGAGCCACTGAGTAACAGTTACATGCTTAACTCTTTGCACTATCAGGGCTCCTTTTGGATATTACAGGTATATGAGCAGAAATGCTGTAAGAGGGGGCTCTCAGAAGACCCACCAAGGCTTCCTGCTGACAGAAATACAAAGTTAGGTATGACAGGAAGATTTTTTTTCAACCTAGTTCTATGAAACATTCCACTACCATGTAATTAATTGCCTACTATTTCTACCAGGTTCCACTTTTTGAATGTTCAAAGTAATTTTTTGCTTCTCCCTAACTTTTATATTGTCCCAACATCTGGAGGAAGAGTAAAAAAATACAATCACATGTCCAGATGTCTGTCCTGCCCCAAACACCTGACATTATTATATAGTCCAAATGTGCCAGAGACTGACTTGTTTTTTCACTCTTTATCCGTATGGAATCAGATGGTAATAATATGATTCACATTTTTGTAATGCTTTGCTCCGCCCCCACCCTCACCCAAGTTCCTATTTCATCCCTTGTCATACATCTGAGTAAACAGGGTTAATGTTACTGCCTGTGTTTTATGGCGTGTCATAGACATTGGAAGACTGACTGAAGATCTTGTGGCTACAGTATTGGGCACAGTCATTTCATTCCCTTTCTAGCCACTTCCTGTGGAATCATGGCACCATGCTGTTTGTGCTGGTGTTCACAGTAACACTGCACTATCTTTTTGCTTACCCTTTTCCCAGCACCTGCAAAAATCGCAGCCTACATTTAAGAGTTATATTTGTAATAAAAGGAAAATCTAATATCTACTATTGAACTATATATATATATATATATACCTCAGGACTAAGGGTCAGTTTATGTGTTCTTTTATTAAAACTCTTTACTCAAGTTCTGGGAAACTTTGGAAAGCACAAGACATGAACATATTAGAAACTACATTTCCTTTGCCCTTACAAAATATACTTAAAAGAAGAAAGGGCTAAGGGTAAAATACCAATAACATTATATGTCATCTAGTCAGCTCTTTCAGCCAAAACCCTCAGCTCAATCTGCTGTAGCCTTTGTATAATTTATGCCACTGCCCCCACCATTAAGTCAATGTGCGCTTGAATTCTTTCTCCATCTGGTCCTCTTGTGGCTCACAGCAGATGTTTGTCCATCACTGTAAGCACTCAGTGGTGATGGTCTGAGTAATTTTCCTCTGTGTGAATCTACTAGGCCCAAGTGAGAAGCAAGCATACCATATTTTCACAGGTATAACATATAATGTGCGCGTTACACGTTTTTTCGTTGTGTGTGTTTTGCAAACCAGACAACAGTTCATTTCCTATAGATACTATATGTTTTATGAATGTGTACATTATTTACATAAGCACATTATTTATAAAAAATACAGTAGACATGTTCTCATTTCTCTAATTAATGGAGATAATCAGTCCAAAGATTACGTAAATCCGGATAGACCTCGCTCTTCATCCATTGATTTGATTGTCCTTATTCTTTCTCTCAGTCCTGGTGGTATACATCAGAAGAATATCTATCTAATAAGTCTATTTACTATTTTTTCTTTTAAAACTCTCATGACTCTAGTGCAGAAAATAGCACCAGCCATGGCACTGTGGAATAATGCACTAGACTGCAAGGTCAGTTTGAACTGCAAGGTTGGCAGTTCAAATTCACCAGCTGCTTCTCCGAAACTCTATATGGTGTTGCTATGAGTCACAACTGACTTGAAGGCACTTAACAACAACAGTCCTCCCACAGCACCTTCTGTTTTTCCTTTTGGGTTTGATAATCAACTGCAAAAGCCACAGAGAACTCACACAGCATACTCACAATTATGAGATTTATGAGGGAAATTAACAGGTTATAATTCTGGATTAGAAATGTTCAGGGCACAGTTCTTCCAGTCAGCTGTGCTCATAGGTGGGCCTCTCTCTGCCTCAGAAGTGTTACAGAGCTCTTTTAGAGCTGCTTATGAATACCACTCCACCATAAGCCTCAGTCTGAAAACTCTATAGGTCAGTAAACCTAGCTCCCCCAATTAAGTACCTGAAGGCACCCTACTCTGCAAGCAAGCCTCCTGCCCAAAGTCACTCAACTTTACTAGCTTCATGGGTTGGGAAGCCCAGCACTCTGTCTTGGGCTCTGGCCCACAGCTCTGCTGCTGTTACTCTACCACTCCTCTGGAGTTACAGTTTTCTGTCTCTGGGTCCAGAAGATTCCATGCACAGGGATCTCAGGGTCCAAAGGACATGCTCCACTCCCTGACTCCTCTTTAATGATAGTGAGTTCTCCCCACCTGCTTCTGAGATGACTCATTTTGAACCCACATTAGGTTCTAAGTTTTTATAATCACAACTAACTGTTAACAATCACATCTGAGTTGTACCATCCTGCCAGTGGCTTCTCTCACAGTTTCTTATCCAGACCCATCAGGAAAAAGGTTGTTTGGTGGAAGTTACCAGGCTATAGGTAGAAGAGCCATATGAAATAATCCGCTACATCTAGAAACAAGCTATTCTCACTAATCAGATTAAAGTGTCCAGTGTTCTTTCATATGTGTACCTATATAGAGATTTGATGTTGTCATTAAGTGCCTCTGAGTCGGTTCTAACTCAGAAACCCTGAATAGGGTTTCCAAGGAGAGGCTGGTGGGTTTGAACTGCCAATCTTGTGCTTAGTAACCCAGTGCTGATTGTAGAGCATCACACCAGATAGAATTCTTCAATGTGACTCTTGGGAAAGTTACTCTGAGGATCTAGAGCAAATGATTTGTGTTCAAACACTAACCTAAATTGAACCCACTCAATCATGCTGTGGCAGAAAAGCCTGGAGAGCTGCTTCCGTAAAGATAACAGCCAAGAAAACCTGAGAGAGCAGTTCTACTCTGCAACACATAAAATTGACTGATGGCAATGTTTTTGTTTTTGTTTTTGTTTTTTGTGCCCACACGTGAAATAAAAAATCCAGATAACCTGTGTCATGGAAGTAAAGTGAGACAAATACTCATTTGAAAACCAGCTGTTGATGGTAGTCCCTGCAGATGTTCCAGGGTTAAGCTGCTACCATAGTGGGCTAGCTGTGTGCCCCTCTTTTCTCCTTCCCTTT